ATACCTAAACAACTTTAGAGTTGAAGACCCTTGGTTGCTAATTCCTAAACCAATTGATGACCTGATGATGAGACTAAAGTTTTTAATTATTTAGGGAAGGTAGGAGTGTTAACAGGGAGGTCATGCAAGGGGGAAAAGTAGGATCAGGGCTACCCCAGGATATGTGTATATATCTGTATATATATAATAGTGATGTAATTTGTACGGAATGATATTTCAGGGTTAGGATATGCTAAGGGCAAGCTTATAGGTGTGCGTAAGATTATTGTAGCTAGGGTGCGTGTGTATGGTTTGGGGGCTAGGGATATATTGTATATAATGTAACAATTTATATGAATACGTATGAATAGGGAGGATGTTCTATAGGCTCACAAGTTTATACACATATATATAGATTTAAGCGTATAGGGACGTACCGTACATGACGCAACCATTTTTCAGATTAGGCAAGGTGATTTAGGATTAGGGTGCAATAAAAATAATAATAATAATTATAATAGTAATAATAATAATAATAATAATAATAATAATAAATAATAATAATAATAACAATAATAACAACAATAACAACAATAACAACAATAACAACAATAACAACAATAACAACAATAACAACAATAACAACAATAACAACAATAACAACAATAACAACAATAACAACAATAACAACAACAATAATAATAATAATAATAATAGCAATAATAATAATAATAATAATAATAATAATAATAATAATAATAATAATAATAATAATAATAATAATAATAATAACAATAACAATTTGGTGTAAGTGTAGCATATGAATGTAATTGGGGTTTACTACACATTTTGGATATATATATATATATATATATATATATATATATATATATATATATATATATATATATATATATATATATATATATATATATATATATATGATAGGAGTTTTAGGGGAATATATCTAGAATAGTAGTGATGTACCTATTTATGTATAAATGTTTGTTTAGGGGGGTCCTTATCTTAGTGGTAAAGGGTCCTAAACAAGGTATGGGAAGCTCGTGGTCTATTATGCAACATGGACCAAGGTCTAGAGGTATAGTTTTAAGATAGTTTGGGGGCGCAATATATTTTTCCAAGGATAACTTTTCGATGACCACTTGTTTTAGGTTTCTACCGGTCTCACTCAGATTGAATTTCGGGTCGAAACTTAATACACAATGTATCCGAGGGTTTAGATTTTTAGAAATAGGATCAGTCCTTATAGTTTCTATGTGACATATAAACAAATCAATTAGGAAGATAATTCGATTTTCATGTTCAAGCATTAGATTGTTATTTATATGTTTAAACACATAGGGAGTATCAAGGGAGACACACAAAGGCACAATGGGTCAATAAAAATGAGAAGTCAAGAAAACATACCGGACCAGTGGGCGCGAGGTGGGCGGTCGACCGCCTGTCAAGTCCCCACTGGAATGTGGCAGTGGGCACGTGGTGGGTGGTCGACCTCCTGCCAAGGCCCCACTGGAACGTGAATGTGAAGGAGGAATCACTTCCGAAAAGGCCCCGAGAATGGACAATTATAAGTTTCAGGGAATTCCATACTTATGTGGACAACGAAAGGGGTATGGAAAACTCAAGGGATCACTTTATTATAATACTAATGAGGATTATGGGAGACTTCAACTAGATATCATAAGGATCCTACGCCTCATCCTTCCCCTTCTTAATTAAAGCTATGTTCCCCAGAATTTCCCTCCATGCAACTCATGTAAGTACTTATCGGGTTATTAGTGAGTTAACTATATTGGTCGATTATGATTAGGACAAGTGAGCTCTTATAGGCCGAATAGAATTTCTAAGAAAATACTTTATCAAGTAATAGATATCCAAATAACGCATGTTTGATCAAATAGTTAAGCAATAGTATGCAGTTCTTAACTTGGTCTAAAAATCCATTAGGAACATATGCTTATGCAAATGAACAAGTATGGTAATCAAAGAGTGATAAGCAACAAAGTAGGTAAAAGCATGCAAGGACATCACAAAATTCTAGGGTAAGTATGTGGAATGAAGAGTTAATGTGTTGTACCCTTACCTTGATGTGATAAGCGAAGGGGGAATTCTTTAAATTAGTGAGGGATAAAGTGAGGGGAGGTTATGTGATGATAGGTAGACTCACAATCTCACTGCGCGTCCTAAGATTCCTAAATCCTATGTTTCTAAATACCTAGAGTTCAAGCCTAATGTCCTAAAGTCTGGTCTTACGAGTCTTATCCTAGGGTCAAACTTAGGCTCTGATACCAACTGTAACACCCCAGATTTTCAAGAAATTTAAAACTTATAGAATAAGGGTGAAATCCCATTAAATCCCAAAACATAATACAAGAGTATGGGGTGCTATGCCACACCTGGGCTAGAGAACCCAGGTGCACAGGCAGTCTAACTAATATCCATTGAAACATAATGCATAACATGGCACGCAGGCCGATGGGAAACTACTCTACTTCTACGCTCCAGTTCTAGCGCGCTCCAGTGCTCTAGTCATCTGTGCCTGAAAGCCAAATATATCTGTTCAGCGAGAGATGCTGGTAACCCACTTCAACGCGTTGAAATACAATACATATAGAGATACATATATATAGATATACAAAAACCATTTGAGCATGAAGATATATCCTACGAACTCTAGCTTTAAAACCGGGAATGACTCGACAGATAAGACCAGACACGAGCAACAGTCATAACGCGCATATGCAGTTCACAACAGATAAGGCAGTTAAGGTAAGGCATAGACAATAATCATAACCCAATATGAACAATCCCCAATATAAAACCCATAGTCACATCCCCAAGATACTCATAATAACAACTCATCCATATCTCATCACATAGCACACTTTGTTGGCGCCACAGGACCAATCGCATGCCCATACATGAGGGTCAGCGCATATAGCTCTGACACGGCCCCGCAGCACCCTGCCCCGTATCCACACGGAGGAGTCATCGCTTTGGCTCCCAATGAACCAAGCCCATAAGGACGTGCACTCTGACTGTAGCCAGGAAACCCATCTGACTACAGCCGGCCTCCGAACCCTTTGTTCAGGAGGTGTCGTCTGATTGCAGCCAGGAATACCCATCTGACTACAACCAGCTTCTGGGCCGCTGCCCAGGATAACGTCACCTGACTGCAGCCAGGAAACCCACCTGACTACAGCCAGCCTCCGAACCCTCTGTTCGGGATGACCAATCCGATCCTTTACCGAATTGGCCCCACGCACACATAACACATAGCAAACACATGCAACCCACATTACACGTTGGGAAGGGGAATAAACGTATAACGAAACCTATGCGTGATCCATCACATGCTAGGAATAGCCCTAAGGGGTTCATACCTCTTCCACCTAGGCCAACCGCGTACCAATTCAACTAGCATGCAATATAACAGACTCATAAACCTACGAACGGTACCCGAAACATCAAACTAGACATACGCACGATAAACGGGGTCCGTTGGGACACCACGGGGATCGGGGAAACATCAAACGGGGAAGCCGGGGTCCCAAGGGGGACAATTTCCAGCGGGTAGCCGGTGGGTGGGGGTCACCCGCCGGCTGCCCGCCGGAACAGTAAATCCGGGCAGCGGGTCGCCGGTGGGCAGCTGCCCGCCCGCCGGCTACCCGCTGCCCAAACAGCAAGTCTGGCCGTGGGTAGGTGGCGGGTCCCCTACCCCCCACCTACCCCCCACTGACTCTTTTCACAACTACTTCGTCCCGGGAACCGATGTGGAACCCGAAACCATGCTTAGACACTTTACAAAGCAATCAACGACCACACGTAGACAATTTAACGAATCAAATACGAGAAACGAACGGCACATAACCTATCATGCTTTTCTAAACATAATCAACACCCAAACATGCGATTTCCCCACCCGATAATCCAAGAATAAGATCATACGATACAACCTAGGGTTCTAATCACTTTTATATCAACAAGAATACGATTCATCTTCTAATTGCAAGATTCGGTAAGAATAACTCATAAGCATCAAGAACATCACACAATTATTAGGAACAACACATAATCATCAAGAATACTAATTAATCATCAAGAACATCATAATCATCAAGAACAACATATAATCATCAAATCCCAATTAATCATCAAGAACATCATAATTATCAAGAAACTCCCAATATCAAGATTATAAAGATTCCCCATGGAATCATCAATTCAACACCAATAGTAATAAACATCACAATCACGCCATTCATCATAAACGGGGGAAACCCTAAGGGGAAATCTTAACTATGAAAATAGGTTTTGTTGAGACATGGGTTACCTCTTAGCCTTAATTAACTCCTTGGCTATGAAGGATCTTTCTTTAAGCTTTCTTGATTTCTCCTAAGGGAATTCTTGGAGCTCTCCTGGGGTGGTGGGGCGTGTAGACGTGTGGGGTTCTAGGTGCCTATTAAGTCCCCTATTTATATATTTAGGAGTCCTAATTAGGAACTAATATTATAGGCTTGCTAATTCTATTTCTTTTGGAATTAGTGGACCATATTAATTAATTAAAGGGAACCCTAATCATCATCTGAATAGTAAAAGACCTACTTCCTTTATTCCTAATAGATAACTAGGTCTAGGATTCCTAATCAGAATCTGAATAGTAAAAGGTTTACTTTCTTTATTCCTAATAGGCTTAAGGCTCTAATTTAGGCAAGGGTCCATGATCCGTGGTGGACCACGTTAATTAATTAAAGGGATTTCTAATCACATTAAATCCTTTTTAATTATTATTAATGGAATTAATTAAATAATTAATTCAGGATTAAGGGCCGTAACACGGGGTGTTACACGACCCCTCGGCACCGCAAGAGAATGTGGCTGTCTCTAGTGAGAATGGTGATCCTAGTGGTCCTCGTGAATGGTTCCCGGACACTGGCGCTACGAATCCTTCTCGTTTTTGGGACTATGTGTTTGAGACTGTTGTTTATCTTATAAATAAAATGCCTACTCGTGTTCTGTCTGATGAGTTTCCGCATTTTCGTTTGCATCGTTCTCCCCCTTCCTACTCTTACTTGCGGGTGTTTGGTTGTTTGTGTTTTCCTATCCTTCGTCCATACAATCGCAATAAACTCCAGTTTTGTTCATCTCCCTGTGTTTTTCTAGGTTATCCTCCGTCTTATCGCGGCTATTGCTGTTTGGACACTAACACTAATAAGGTTTTTATCTGACGCCACGTGCGATTCGATGAGATTGTGTTTCCCTTTGTTTCTCCTGTTGCCTCGCAGGTTGCTAGACCATGTTCCGAACCTTGGGCTACTGCATCGATTGTGACGTGCCGAGGTGGTGGTGTCTCAGCCACGGCTGTTGATGATGCTCAGCAGTCTGATGAGCCCGTCTCGGCTTCTGGCGATGGTGACGATAATGGTCCCGAGCAGTCCTCATCAAGTGAGCGGACTATCTCGGACCAGCAGGTTGAGCAGCGCGGCAGGCCGCGCGAACTTCCTCGGCGAGTCACTCCTCCTCCTCGATCGCATGCTATGAACACTTGTAGCTCGGGTTCGCATCAACATGTTGCCTTAACCACTATTTCTACCATAGTGCCTGAGCCCACCTGTTACACTCAGGCGGTAAAGTTTCCTGAGTGACGTGATGTGATGGACGCGGAGTTCAAAGCCTTGGTACATAATCATACGTGGCGTCTTGTTCCGTTTCACCCAGGTATGAATGTTGTTGGTTGCAAGTGGGTTTTCAGAACCAAACGGAAGGCCGATGGTTCAATAGAACGTCATAAAGCTAGGCTGGTGGCCAAGGGTTTTAATCAGGTTGCTGGAGAAGACTTTTTTGAGACCTTTAGTCTCGTGGTTAAGCCAACTATAGTACGCCTTATTATCTTTAGCCCTATCTCGTGGGTGGACTATTCGCCAATTGGATATTCATAACGCCTTTTTAAATGGTGAGCTAGCTGAGACTGTTTATATGCGACAGCCGCCTGGTTATGAGAACAAGTCATTAACTGATCATGTGTGTTTGCTTTAAAAATCTCTATACGGGCTCAAATAGGCTCCGCGTGCTTGGTTCACAAGATTGCATGATTTTCTTGTCTCTGTGGGCTTCTCGCCTTCAAAGACGGATGTGTTTCTTTTTATCTATTCTCGTGACCATATTCGTCTTTATTTCTTGGTGTATGTTGATGACATTTTGATTATGAGTTCTGACTCAGATCGTGTTACTGCTCTTATTGATAAATTAGCCCTTGAGTTTAAGGTTCGTGATATGGGTGTGCCTTCTTTCTTTTTGGGTATTGAGACTCTCCCGTTATCTGGCGGTATGCTTTTATCACAACAACGGTACATGAAGGTATTCTCAAACGTGCTGGCATGGTTGACTGCAAGCCAGTAGTCACGCCCGTCTCTTCTGCGAAGATCACCGACGAAGTCGCCGTTCCCTATCCCAATCATATACAGTACAAGAGTCTTGCAGGTGCTCTCCAGTATCTTACGGTAACTCATCTTGATTTATCTTATGTTGTTAATCTCTTGTGTCAACACATGCATGCGTCCACTACTACGGACTAGGCCTCTCTGAAAACAGTCATGCGGTATGTCAAGGGCACCCTGAATCTTGGTCTGCGGATTTCTCGGTCTACATCTATGGATATTCACGCTTATTCTGACTCAGATTGGGCTGGCAATCCGAATGATCGCAAGTCTACTAGTGGCTTTGCTGTGTTCTTAGGCAGTAATCTTATATCTTGGGTATGTTGGAAGCAACGGACTGTGGCACGTTCTTCAACTGAAGCAGAATACAATGGGCTAGCTGATGTATCTGCAGAGGTTACATGGCTTGTTTCCCTATTAAACGAAATCGGCATCCCTCCTGCGTCTCCTCCTCGACTATAGTGTGATAACTTGAGAGCTACTTACTTATGTGCCAATCCAGCGTTTCATGCCCGCACGAAGCACATTGAGATTGACTATCATTTTGTTCGCGATAAAGTTGCTAAAAAGGAGTTAGAGGTGCACTTTATTTTCAACCAAGGATCAACTAGCGTGAGTAATTCTAAAGAGTTAGAGGTGCACTTTATTTCAACAAAGTCTCATTCATCTCTTCGTTTTAATTCTTTTCGTGACAAGCTCAATGTTTTGGCTAGTCAATCTTGTGCCTGAGGGGAATATTAGGATTATATTATTCATATTAGACTATGACTATATTATTCGTGTTAGACTAGGACTCTATCTAGTATTTATATATTTGCTATCTGTACTCTCAGACATTACTACTGAATACAACACTTTTACATACACTCTCATCGTCACGTTGTTTGTTCTAAATTGACAACCTAGTAATTCAATTAACCTCATTGTTGAAATTTCAGCAAAGTCAATTGGAATCTCTCTCAATTTACGCTAATTCCAAAGAAAGAGTTGCTCAAGTTTTATTTTATGGTGTTGGAACAGAACTATTAAACTCATTTAGAGTTTTACTTAATTTTTTTGACAAATTTTTCACTTTTAGCCGTTGATTATTGTGACATTACCACATTTAATCAACATTATTCAATATAAGGAATTCACCATTAATCCATTGGGTTTTTAAATTAGGTATCAAATTCATAAATAAGTTTAGTTTTCACAAAATATTATTCGATTCACTCTAAACCATACACTATAATAGTTCTTTCATACATGTTTGTATAATCAATAAGGTACTAGGCAAGTATTATGAGTGGAGGGAAAAGAGAAAACAATATAGTTTGTGTATATATTTCTCAACATGAATTTGTAACTCGGTCCATCTCAAACTATAGTGAGAAAACCGTGCCAAAAAAATCCCAAAATTTTCTCCTCCCTATTCATTCAATCTGTGTTAATACATCGTTACATGAATGGAAAACCTTTCTAGCATTTATCCTATGCTAATCTTTAAAAAATAAGATAAATTTACAACAGGAAAATTGATTTAAGAAACAGCATTGCATGCCACACTGAACACATACTTTATATCGCCACAAAGGCAACCATTTTGTACACATTCTGCTTCGTGGCTGTGCTGATGATGACCCCTTTTTGATATTTGTTCGGATGAGTGGAAGAGCAGCTCACTGATAAGTGGGGATCCGAACTCTCAGTCCGATCCTTTGGCCTATGTTGGCTGCCGAAGCATCCGTTGAAGCTGAAGGACCTGTTGTCGCTGATCCGGGGGCAATGAGTTTAACTGTTCTGGCGTGAGACTCATCACTTGCTGCAATAAGGCAGACTCTACATCTGGGGTTATCTGCAGAGGTGAAAGAGAGGTCTTGGATGAAAATTGATTCAGGATTAACGGAAATCAAATGGGACCTTAAGAACAATATACTAAACTGTTTGAAACACAACAAATAATACACTAGTCGTATAAGTAATTCACTTGCATTTGATGGATATAAAACACTCGCAATAATAATAATAATAACAGCAGTTCTTAAGATGTATGCAATACAGGAATGTTTATTAAAGCTTACCTGAAGAGCATGCTTCTCAGAACTAGAAGCCTCTTCTGTTCCGGAAATTTGATTTCCAGATAAGCTAGCTGACCTTGAAGGCCTTGTTACCAAGGTACCAACATTTAATTCAGCTGCTGAATAGGAACTCCTTCCATCATTTAGTTTTGACAACTTTGATGGGCGATGATTCATCGCATCTATACTATCATTTGGGGCTCTAGCTCTCTCTGCCAAACCTGACGTGGGAATTATTTTATTGACCCAAGCAGAATTGTTAGCAACAATCTGGGTTTCAAGACGCCCCTTAATAATGTTGTCCAGAGGAGTAGACAATGCCGAAGAGCTTGGCTGTAAAAAAAAAAAAAAAGATTACTAAAAAACATCTTCCACATATTGTCAAAAAGAATAAAAAACCCAATGAAGAACTGAAAACCCCGTGAAGACCAAAATTTCAAGCATGAAACGTGCATACTGTTGTAAAAGCAAATTATTAAAAAAAAAAAAATGTTTCCATTTACATGACTGACTAATTCTTCTGCCTTGCTTGTATGATTTCATCATCTAAGTTTCATTGTTTAAGAATAAACACAATTCCATTCTAAAGTAGTAACCTTTAGTTATTTGATTGGATTCTTTAGTATTTGATTACAAGTCGGTCAGCCAATTCATGGGCGCCCAATAAATATAAGGCACGCACATCAGGAGGGGAAAAAAGCATTTTGCATTATGAATAAGTATGAAATTGGCACAACTAAAAATATCAACACTCCAATGAACTCCAGTTTATAACATAGTAGTTGCACAAATAAATGCATTACCTTAGGGCTTCGTCGGTTCTACATATGTTTTTTTAAGAGTTCCATTAAAAGGTACCAAGGAGCTACCACCACATTGATACTACAATTACTCACATAAATACATGTATTTGATAAATGCATAAGGGTGTTTCGTAAATGGCTGTTAGCTGATAGCTGATTTGGTTAGTAAGTTTAACTAGTTGATAGCATTAGTTGATTGTAGAAAAGTGTTTGGTAAATTGGCTGTTAGCTGTTAGCTAATTACAAACAAATGACTTTCTCAAAAAGCTACTTTGAGTAGCTTTTTGAATTTTAGCATTTTGGAGCAAAAAGTTGTCACAAAAAGCTAATTAATCAAGCACTCATGTTGATTGTTTAACCAAGTCAAACAACTAATAGTGGTCAAATAAGTCAAAATTGGCTGAACGGCTAACCATTTTACCAAACAGGGCCAAAGAATGTTAAGCTAAACCAGTTCGTATAGCAATTTCAAAATACATTTTTTACCCAATCTCCAAGTTGATGTATACACTGACAGGTTAAGATTGTTACCTGAAAAACTTTTTCTGTTGCTGGTGAAGGCTGGAATGCAGCATTTGGTGCAGCAGGTTGACTAGTATATGCCAAATTAGCAGAAGGAACAATCCCTGCTTGAGGTAACAAAGGATGATGCATTTGCTGCTTCAAAGAAGAGGAAGTGGAAGTGCCAACTTGAATCGGCTGGGTAGCACTCAAATTACCCTGTGGGCGAATAGCTTGAACTCCAGAATGTATTGGCAATCGCCCATGTTGCAAAATGTTGTTTTCAGCTGATTGTGGAAGCTGAACCTGAGGTTGTGTCTGGGCCAATGAACTGTGAGGGGGAGGTATCCCCCCAGGATGTGTTCGAACTGATAACTGTTGATTACGATGAATGTCTGGCAATATGGAATGAGGTGGAGGAACAGAGGACTGCCGAATATTAGGCGTCTGTAACTGCAAATTTGAAAGATCATTAAATACGGTGTGATAATAACCACATGTCCAGGGTAAAAAAGTTATAGCAAACAAAAAGGAAAAAAGGAAATTTGAGCCAATAGAATACAACAGAGATTCGACAGAACAAACCATTTGAGGAGTAACCAATCCCAGCATTAGTTGTGCCTGCAAGTAAGAGACAAACTTGCTAAGGATGTGAAAACACACAAAATGACTATGCCGCTGCCATATAAGAACACACTCATACAAGTAATTATAATTGTAAGCTGGTCATACTGCCAATAGACGTGCAGACCAATGAAAATTTTGAAGCATTTTTACATTACCAACTGTGAAAGGAATTAAAGGCACCATAATACAGATCAATTTCAAAATGAAATATTTTGAAGCATTGTCAGTATGGATTTAGTTTTAATTGATCAAGTTAGAAATGAATGTGCTGTGCTGTGCTGTAGATGAAGAGAATAAAGTGAGATTCATTGATGATATTTTAGAAGAATTAAAACAAACAGTTCTGGATGTTCATTAACACAATTTTGAAAATAGCATGTTGGATGTTCACATGAGTTATTCTAAAGATGTTCCAAGAGATGATTGATTTTGTAAAATGGAGATAATTGAGCAGTTGATGATAGAAGCGTAATTAGAGAAGAGAACCCTAAATCCTAATAATGATTTTGATGTGGATTTGCACAATTATGAGAAAGTAGATTTTATTGGAGTTGAATAAATATGCATGACTTAAGGAATCACTTGGTTTAATCAAGTAAACACAAACCACCAAAGTTAGGGAAGATTGAATTGGTTCTATTAGCACTTAAGAAGACCATGAAGATTTCTTTGTACTCCAAATATTTATTAAAAAGATGATGAGTAATGATTCCTTGAACTCAAGAATGATTTCTTTTAGTTGGGGAATCTGAGACAGGAGTGTTAGGATTGTCTCAGAAAGCATCAAGACATAGATAGGTGTTTTCACCTTCAAATTTTCACAAATTCATCAAGACTAAGCAAAATGGCAAAAGTCAAGACATAGAAGGAATCTATACTATTTTCCTACAATGATTAGGGATAGATTTCATTCTTCGCTTTTAAGATGATCCAAGGCTTGAGATGAGGGGGGAAAAAAGGCAAATAAACTAGTGAATAAACAATTAAAGCAGAAATTTCTGTGGTCATTAACCCCAAGAGATAGGTGATCATGTAGAATCTTGCAATAAAGAAAGTAAAAGATCATTAGCTACCTGGAAAATTGCTTTAGGTAAGTTAGGAATTGTATGTAATATTTGGCGAGCTTGTTCCTTGTTTTGTGTTGCTATAGCCTGCCATAATAACATCAAGCAATAAATAAATCAATCAAAATATTTAATGATTAAAAAGAGCCAAAGAGGACTTGAGCATTTAAAGGACCATATTTTCCTTTTATCAGTTTCATCTCAGCAACCCAAAATGTCAAAACTAAGTGTGTTTGGTAACATTTTTACGCTTATGTTTTCACTCTTCTTTTCTTGCTTGTAGTGGTGGTTGGAATGGACAAGTTGAGAGGAGATAGTTATTTAGGGTGGGTAGGATCAAGAGGTATGGTATACATCGTGGGAGGCTGGCAGGTGGGGGTGATTGGTGTGACATACTACATGATAAT